AACCTCATGATGACTTCTGTCATCGTTGGCCCCTGTGCCGTTCATCTTCAAACCATGGGGAGGCGCACAAGGGGCTATAGCGAATTCGGATCTTTTTACGACACGCAAACACACAACAAAAGGTCGTTGGTTCTTTGCCAAAAGCTCTTATGAACTGTCTGCAGCATTATTGTACAGATCTGCTGACTGTTGCCAGTTCGAGCGGCATGTTGGAAGCTATGTGGCTGTGCTGTTGCATGACCCAAGGAGGAATCACGTAGCCTTCTCCTGAGCCATCGAAGGGAAGGCGGCGCCACATTCGCTGTCCTGGCCAGGTAGCTTTAACACTCCTCCTCAGCTCCACCGCTAGGTGGAAGGTGCACTTCATAGCTACCTATCCTTCCAGACATGGATGAAGTTGGAAATCCGGCCCTTATCATTGACATCGCTCCATTTCAGCTGGTATCGTCCAGCAACATTCCCATGTCTCCACAGCCACAACACATATCTTAACTGTCGTATGGTTGGACCATTGGTTTGATCCATGTGGTTCACGAGATAGCCACCCAGCCTTCTTGCTAGGTCTGCCTTCACTCCCGTAGTTTGAGCTCCTTCGTGACGTAGTCCTTCCTTCAAGTGCTCACTTGTCATAAGGAGTAATACATCTGTACACACACGATCTCGCTCAAACTGCCCTTCACCTCCTATGGGTACAGGTAGTCCTGGCGATGGCCACTCAAACAGCTCGTCGTTCTGGGATCTCGTCGGCGTAGTCGGTAGCTGCTGTAGAGGTTCACTAATAGTCATTCTCCTCATACTCACGGTCGTAGACGGCTGAGCCACTGGGGAAGCATCGGGCTGCGCTAGTCGTCTCCTCATACTGGACGATGTGGAAGGTTGAGACACTGGGGTAGTTGAGGACACTGTCTCATGGCCCATCCGCTCTAGCTCCCTTTCAATTGCCAGGGCAGTGGCCTCTTGAAGTCGACGTAGACGTCGTAGCCTTCGCTCCGTTGGTAGTAGTCCTCGATAAACTTCTATCCCAGCCCATTTCGCGAACTCCCATAGCACCAACCCACCAAGTAACACCAGCAGCGCGAGGAAGAGGTCCAGCAAACCTGAATCTACCTGTAGTGACTGAGACATTGGCCTGGCCTCCACGCCCAACATCAAAATGCAGCACACTGTTGCTACCAACACCTTCGTAGCCAATGTGGATGACATTGACGCGGGGCGGGATTCGCTCCTGCAGCCGTCCTGTATTCCCCGTAGTAGTAGTAGATCACGTATCCGCTGTCCACTCAGGGCCTTTGTCAGTAGGTCCGCCGGCTGAGTGACCCCTGGCTCGTGTCGAGCCGTGAGCTCATTGCGGCTTAGCATTTCTTGAAGCCAGGCTGCCTTCAACCTGAAATGACGGGTTCTCCACGACCCGTCCCGGCCCCTATGGCTAGGGCACTCGTGCTGTCGCTCGCAATCTCCTTGTTGCACGGCTCCAGCTGTAGGTCCGCTAGCATCGCTTCGAGCCCCATCATCCCTATTGATCCGTCCAGGATCGCATTAAGCTCACTTTCAGCCGTAGACAAGGCTATGGTCCCCTGCCGACCCGACCTCCATGCCATCGGAGACCCGGACCACATTATAACCCACCCAGCCAGTATGGGACTTGGAACCCGTGGCAGCAAACGCTGCGTCCGGATACATAGTGAGGCCGGAGTCGTTGTTCTTGATCGTCATCCTCAGGTTCTTCGTGCCTTGAAGGTAGCGGAGGGCCTTTTTGCCTATCTCCACGGAGGAATCTGAGGGCACTGGAGCATCACCTGGCTTCACTGTGAACACCATTTTAGCTGGTAGCCGCTGTGCTCCTGGTCTCTGTATCCAGTCTTGTCTTTCTGGAGATCCTCGTGGTAGTCGCTTGATCGCCACCGCCACACCATCGACTTCCTTCCGGATTGCTGCCTCCCAGCCTGACAAGTTCTCCAGGACTTCCTTGGATTCAACGTTGTGGACCACTTCTAACTTCTAGCGGGCCCTTGAGGTTTTCAAGTAATATCTCTATGTTCTTGGTGTACCCAACTTCGACCTTGCGAACTCGAGGCTGTTGTTCACGCTGTGGCTCCTCCTCTTCCTCACCAATCTTCACGATCCCATCGTCCGCCTCCAAGTACATTTCCCACTCATCGACGTCCTCGTCCACAATCTCCTCGGCCGTCACGTAGTTGGGAAAGTTCGAATCTCTCCTTGCTAGGGCCCCTCAAGACCTTAACTTCATGGTCCGGGGTAGTGAGGAAGTACTCAGGCATCTGCGTGATTGGTGTAGGGTAGCCATAGTCCTCCAACTCATTGATCATCACATCCGTTAGCTTCCCAAGAGCTTGAGGAGTGTAGGCGACAACGACTGTCCTTGTTCCCTTCCAGGGTGATACTTCACTCTGTCAGCTCGTGAACCCGCCCACGGATCTCGTCCGCGGGAACTGTAGGGTGTTCAGAACGGGCACTGTCTGGCCGCTTGCTTTTGCTGCTGTTTCTCCATGAGCGGACTAGCAAAGGTCCCATCTTCTCAGTGCATTCGCTAGGGCACATCCAGACTCTCGATAAAGGTTCACCATGTGATGGACATGCCATGTGCCAGCACGAGTTCGCTGAAGGACAGGCAGCCAATTCCAAAAACATGTGCAAATTTTTGCGAAGCTCGCACGGCCTGGTCAGGCTCATCAAAAAGGGCACCAATGATCTCCGTTTGCGGCGGAATAAAATACCCTCCCATTTCTTCCAAGCCTGCTCAGAATGGTTCGGTATACAAGGGGCACATGGTGTAGTGGTATCACATCCGCTCCGCATGCGGAAGGCCCTGGGTTCAATCCCCAGTGTGTCCATATTGTGGTGCAGGTTGAGCTCCAGATTTTGCCTTGGAGACTCTGGTCACGGCGACTCCAACAAGCAAGCCAGCAGATCCCGGCGGTATCAAATGTGTCGCAACTGCTGCCCAAGAAATACTGACAGCACCCCAAGGGCTTCCCCGGCCTCCCAGGCCAGTACTGAGCGGTTTGAAATAGCAAAGCCTACAGGCTGGACCGGGCCCGGATGAGGCAGGCTCGGACTCGCCCGACAACAGCAGCAAGGAGCAAGGGGAAGAGAAGCAGATGGACCACCACAAGCTTCTGGAAGGAGCCAAAGAAGAGAAACAGCCTTCCACAACAACTAGACACCCGGTTGTTTCCTTTTTTCCCACACCGTGGGGAGGGGGCAGGTCGTTGCCTAACAAATCCTCATTTTTTGAAATGCATCTCTAAGGACAGTTTGGCCGAGTGGTCTAAGGCGCTGGCTCCCCACCTCAACGGGAATAACTGTCCATAACGCTGCCGTCCTTGATCATCTTGTCGGACCACAATCTCCTCCTGAACCTTGTCCCCCTTTCCGACTTCCACCCAAAGCTCCCCGCCCTTTTCTGGTAAGCGCACCGGTAGTACGTAGTTCATCGCCCCGTCGTCATTGTTGAGGTCCTGGTGCATACCCCGTTCCATATTTCGCGCCACCATTATCGCTGTGAAGGTCGCTTCCGGTTGGTCGTAGAGGATCATCTTGGACAACACCTTAGCCAACTCCGGATGCTCAGTGAATCCACGCATTCTTCCCACTACTCCACCATGACGAAAGACTCCGAACTTGACCTCATCGAACAGTTTGCACTCCGCAAGCTCGTCAATCAAGTTGATGGCCACCTCCTGGTTCCACTCATCCAGTAGGGTTCTTGAGCGATCCCTAATATACTCACCGAACTCCTCCTCCGATAGCTGCAACTCCTTCATTTGCACATGCGCCATGGGAGTCTTACCTTCAATTCTTCGCCGCGGTCTCGGCGGGTCGTCAGCTATGAGCTCTTGTTGTGGTAGCCCTGGGTCGATTAACCGAGGTCGTACATGAAAAGTATGAATAAACTTCTCCCTTGTCCCCTGCTCATCCGGGATGTACACCACGTGGCCATTGTCCAATATGCTGCTCAGTCCAACATAGCGTCCTCGAATCCACTTTGACTCAAAGGCCCTTTCCCTTCGTCGGGGCCCTGATGAATCGAACGCCTTCTGCTTCACATGGACAACTGCCCCAAATGGAGCGAGCAGCTTGCTCTTCCATCCCAGAACTCTTGCTCGCTTGTCCTTGATCCAACGAACTGCCCCTTCAGCCTGGCCATTTCCTTGGGGAATTCCGGGCTCGGACCATGTTGCTCGTATCCCCTGATCTCTGAGCCAGGTGCGAACTGAGTGGTTGTAGGTCTCGCCCTTGTCCGCATGTAGTCGGTAGATAGGTAGCCCGTGCGCCTGCAAATACAGAATAACATCCTGCATTGCTGCCTTGACCACTGTCGACCCATTGCTCGGTAACGCCTTGGCAAACAGCAGGTAGGTAGACGCGGGGGCCACACAATCTTGATGAGGGTCTGGGTCGCCTGGTCTCTGGATCAAGTCCTCCTGCAGCTCCTTGGGAGGTTCCTCTGGTTCTGAAGGCTCGTACATTGAGTCGTCGTAGTCCTGGTACTCGGCCTGCTGCCTGCGAGTGCCGCCAATGAAATCCGCATCCTCGCTTGACTGGTCCTTCCCTTGACCCTGCTCACATCGAGTAGAGGACCCTGCTCACCTGGTTCATCTAACAAAGGACCCTGCTCACCTGGTTCTAAAATAAACGGATCTCCATCTTCGTGTGGTGGTAGTCGAGAAGGTTCTGCGAGTTCCTCGTCAGCACTGCCGTAAAAACCTACTTCTCTATCCTTCTTGCTCTCCCCATCTTCGTGTGGTGGTAGTTGAGAAGGTTCTGCGCCGAGTTCCTTGTCAGCACTGCCGTCCTGCTCCACAGGTATTTCGCCACTTAACCCATGATCACCAGGAGGTTCTCTCGCGGTGTACCCCTTCACATACTCAACCGGCAGGTTGTACCGCGCAATCATCAAGTACTTCAGGTTTCTTCCCATCGTCCCCTTGCTTGTGACATCAAGTCCCGCAGCAACTGGTCCTGCCAGGTCGACTGTCAACGAGAAGAGCTCTGGGTGAGAGACCCGCGCATGTCTTCGTCCTGTTCCACGGGCGAGAACGCACGTCAAGCAGTCCCTTCGGTAATCGAGGTGTCCTCCTTCCACATGTTGCCGCCATCGATCTTGAGACACGGCAGCCAACTGAGGTACGCATTGGGGATGCCTTGTCCACAGCCGCAATGCAAGCACAAGGGCCTTGACTAGCCCCGGCGCCCAGGTAGAGGAAGTCTGGGTTGTGGTAGTTGACGTTTCTCTTGCAGGATCACTGAGTCCCTGTAGGCCCTGGACGTAATAAACATTGGTTCCCAGCGTTGTTCTTGTACTGTGTGGAGCTCCCATAGCACGCTGGTCGAAGCTTACAGTCGTCATCCCATACTCTTCTGAAAAACTCCTCCACAATGGCAATCTCCACAAAAACCAAGGTGAGAAACAGCGCATGATCCATCTTCGGCTAGCTCCTCCTGGGAAGGGTGTTCAAGAATCAGTCCAACAGGTCGACCTCGATCGGTCCCCTTCGCGTTGACTGATCTTCCCACCTCCGCCACTGCATATAACCACAAGGTCCGCACCAACAGCGTCATGCCCTTGACATCACAGCGTCCTCCTGTCCCTTGGCATAGTCCTCCACGGCCAGGGGGTCCCGCCATGATTACATCGATTTTCCCAGACATCGCAGCCCACATCAACAGGCGCCACGTAGAAGTCCGAAGTATGTCGTGGGCTTTGCATCTCTGGATGTCTAATTCCAGAACCACGGTGTCCCCTTCGTCAAGCTGAAACAACTCGTAGTGGCCTGGGTCGCCCGCAAACAGATGGATTATCAGCCTTTTTGCGCTCCACAATCGCGTCCGCTGAGACCTCGTCAGAAACTCGATCTCCTTTAAGACCTGCCACCCGCTCTCCATCACTCCACTCTGAACCATGCCATCCACACATGCGCCTGGAAGATCTGCAAGAAAAGGAGCATCACGCACAGCACGAAGACCTGCCTCTTGAGTACCCTTGGTCACATATTCCGTTAGCTGTCGAGGTAGTCTTGGGACATCACCGTGACATTCTCCAGCTGCTCCCTTTTCCTGTCTTCGAGACGAGCTATCAGGGACAGGGCCTCCGCTTCTTGTAAGTGTGGACAACCCGCAGAAACACCCAAAGACTGAGAGTTCCCCTCCGCGTCCATAAGGAAACATCCCTTTTGCGACCACTCCAACGAATAGCCAAGGGTCCGAACCAGCTCTCCCAGTGGAACTATATGGTATGTCCCCTCGTGGTAGTAGTCGATGAAGTCGGTGCCCGTGGTGGCATCAAGAGTGATCCCCCTGAGCTCAATCGCATCTTCAAAGCGTTGTCCCCCGCCAACTGCACCACCACCTCTTCCGCTGTGCACCATTCCTTCATGTCGTAGGCGTTCCGGAGGCAGTGTGTTGCTCCGCTGTCCAACAGAGCTGTTGATGAGGAATCCATGGAAGAGATTCGTGTGTCCTTCACGCTCAGCACCTTCAGCTCTTCCCTCGTTTTCTCTGGTGAGCTTTCTCTGTCCGAAGGAGTCTGGTTCTGGATCACCTGCTACACGCACTTGTCCCCCCCCTTGCATCCACTGGGCTTGTTGAAGTAGCGGCAGGGCTCCTGGCTCTTATCCTTCATCTTGTTGCCCTTCGGGGACTGTCCTGACGAGGAAGCATCCACCGCCCGAACCGCTGCTGTTCCAGGTGGTACTGCCGATTGCTGCGCTCCCAGGATCCCCTCCAGTTCCGCTTGTAGGTGACGATGATAACCCTTCACCTGGTCCAGGGTTGGTTGGCAGTCCAACCGTAACGTGCTTCGGAACATTGAAGTTCTAAAGGAAGCATCCGTTGAACCCGTAATTTGCCTCGAAGTCAACGTCTGTAACCCTTTTGACATCACCGAAGGGTCTGGGGGCAGCATTCTCATTGATTGGCACCTGGCCAACCAGCGTGGCCAAGCGCGCAGGTGATTGAGGACCGCCTCCGCTGACTCCGTTGCCACTCCATCGGCCGGAGTTCTGTAGTCATCGCATTGAGCAGTAGGCTACATGCCCGTGCGTTGATTCTGCTCCACGGATCTTCACATAGTGGACCCATCCCCTCGGGCTGAACTGACAGCCGCTCCAATTGCGGGTGGCACTCAGCCACCGTGAGTACGCAGCCTCTGCCACTAACATCACCGCCTTCCACCATTGTCCCGATTTTCCGCTGACATCGGTCATAGCTGTGGATGTAATTTCCACCCAGTCTTGGAACTTCAGCGACGCCTCCGCTCCTCCTCTGTGATCGGGAAGCGGCGTGAGGGCATTCGTATTCAAGGAGTCGGGGGCCGAGTGATTAGCTCCCTTTGATAGATGGCCAGAGCCTCCATCATAGGAGACCCGGCTTGCTGCTGTGAAGTAGACCCCTGAGGAGGAGGCGACGTTGATCTTGCTCGTGGAAAGACTGTCCTTAATAAGCTTGGTGGTTCTGGCTGTTCTGGTTCCCGCGTAGGTAGGCTGCTGCTCAACCGCCTTATCCCTTCTTGCCATAGTGACCCAGGAACGCTTCCTTGCTGCTGCTCTTCCCTAGGGGGCACTCCAGAGCCTTGAGGTAGTGTAGGAATCTGAAATACTCCCGGATCTAGCTGTAGCGCTGAGCCTAGTGGTAATCCTGAAGCTTGTGGTAGAGCTGGACCTTGCGGTAATCCTGAAGCTTGCTGTAGAGCTAAACCTTGTGGTAATCCCGAAGCTTGCTGTAGGACTGGACCTTGTGGTAATCCCGAAGCTTGCTGTAGGACTGGATCTTGCGGTAATCCTGAAGCTTGCTGTAGAGCTAGACCTTGCGGTAGTCCCGAAGCTTGCTGTAGAGCTAGACCTTGCGGTAGTCCCGAAGCTTGCTGTAGAGCTGGACCTGAAGGTAACCCTGAAGCTTGTTGTAGAGCTGGACCTTGCGGTAGTCCCGAAGCTTGCTGTAGGACTGGACCTGAGGGTAATCCCGAAGCTTGCTGTAGAGCTGGACCTGAAGGTAACCCTGAAACTTGTTGTAGAGCTGGACCTTGCGGTAGTCCCGAAGCTTGCTGTAGGACTGGACCTGAGGGTAACCCTGAAGCTTGTTGTAGAGCTGGACCTGAAGGTGCCGAGAGCAAACTCCCAAAGAGTGACCCGTGCTCTAGGCTATATCCACCCATTCTCGCTCCCGCTTCCAGGTGTACTTCTCTCAGCTCCTCAAGTTCTCGCTGCAGCGCCCTGTTCGTCGCTTCCGACTCGTGCAGCAAGGAACGGAACGGATGCCTGCCAACTGCCTCTGGACCTCCTGCTGTATCGCCTCCGCTGGTATCGAAGACGACGGTGGAGTCGGTGGTCTCGCTGCTGGCCTTGTCCTCACCGGTGACCTCAGCACGAACGTCGGTCCACCAGGAGGGGTCCCCGCGAGGGGACTTGGTACCATTGGGTCCGCCGGCGCCAGATACGATCCTAGTCTCGTCATCCAGCCTGGCAACCCATTCATCATGTTTGTTCCCAACCAGTTATTCTGGCCAGTCCCCGACACCCTTGATCTCGGAGTCAGGAATTCCTGTGCAGCAATTGAACCACTGCCATCCGCCATCATTCCAGGTTCCACACTTTGGCCTCCAGCTGGAATCGTTGGAGCTTGCACGATCTCCACCTGCTCCAGTGAAGTTGCCGTCGGTGAATTCCCCGGAGGCAGACAGTCGTGGCCCTCTGTGACAACAGGGAGCGGTTGCGCAGGAACTGGTCCCGCCCGTGTCGCTGCTATCCCTTCAGTCCCCTCTGCTGCAGTGGCACCCTGAAGATCAGGATCATAAAGTGAGCCGCTTGGTTGCGGTTCTTGGTGACCCGAGTCACTTATATCTCCAGCTCCTCGGACCACGCCATTCGGAATCTGTTGCACACTCTGGTCCGCTTGGGCGCTCATAACCTCATGATGACTTCTGTCATCGT